TCAACCTCACTTTACAGATGGTGAAGCTGAGGCACAGAGTAGTTAAGACACCTGCCCAAGTAAACAGCAGAGTCAGTACTCTGGACCACTTTGTTAGGTGCTCTCATCTTTGGTATAGACTGACATCACGTGCACCTCTTGGCTATACCATAGTTAATGCTCCTGATTCCTGGGGGAAGACATTTTCCTGGGTGGGTGAGGTGGGGATGGAGTATCAAGGGAATGCTTATTGCTCAGTGGGCTGGGAAAGCTAACCAGTTGAAATCAGTTGTCTCATGCAATCTAGTTCTTGGCTCCCCAGAAAAAAGTTGGGGAGGCGGGCGCCATTTCAGAGGTGGTTATGTAACCTCAGAGAGGAAGCTGTCTCATTTCCTGAAATTTGGCATCTATGGATCTGAAAGATTCGCAAATGCATTGGATGTTGCTGAAGCCAGGGAGAAATTCCTTTTATTTATTATTTTTTAAAATTTTATTATGTTATGTTAGTCACCATACATCATTAGCTTTTGATGTGGTGATCCACGATCGATTGTTTTCGTATAACACCCAATGCTCCATGCAGTACCTGATTCCTTTTCTAATGTTAATCTCCATGTGAAGGAGGTATTATTATCACGATATGTGATAAGTGGGTGACCATATATCTCATCATCCAAATTGCACCACTTTTAAGAGTAAAAGGGACATTATTAAGCATTATGCCAGGACAAATTAGCGTTAAATCAGGACTCAACTGGGCGAGCAGAAGGTATGGGCACTCCAATGATAAATGAACACAGAACTTCAAGCTCTGACACAGGTTTTATTCTGGGTAAGATTGACCAGGATATCATGCAACACCTCCACTCTTCTTGTCCTGAGTTCGCATTGATAAATTGGCCAGGTTTTCTAAGTGCTGTTGGAGCTTGTGGTGGTATTGATAATGAGGGCCCTGCAGACCTGCTTTTGTCCATCACTGATGCATCTCTTGATAGAGCACCCAAGACCCCACAAAGTTAGGCCAAGTTAGTGCACAAACACAGGGAACCACAGGCTTGCTAATTTTCAACAGGTGACCAGCTGCCATTTGACTTCTGAATGGATTTCTCTCTGAGCCCACTTGATATGCTTTAGCTCAGTGGCGGGTGACAGGAAGTCAAGGAGACTTGAAACCTTGTCAACTGATCGACAGCTGAAGGAAATGGGAACACAGAGCTTGGAGAAGAGAAACATGAGGGCCCCAAGGGGTGGCATCACATAGTTGACTTGTTGCCACGTGCAAGAAGGAACAGGCTTATTGCGAGTTACCCGCAGGGTAGTACAAAATGCAAACTCCAGGCAATCAGATTTCAGCTCATTTAGGTGATTTCTCTTTCTCATCGTTTTTAAAAATTTTTTGAGAAACGTGTTTTAATGATAAAAATAGCACATGCTCTTCGTTAAAAAAATATTTAAACAGTAACAACACATACACGGCGGAAAGCAAAAGCTTTCCTCTTTTCTCCTCTTCCCCTCCCCTCGCCCACACCCACTCCCTGGAATGCCCTGCGTACCCTCCCCCATTCCTACCTCTGCACGTGCAAACATGCTATCCATACAGGGTACACATGCATACTCTATGTGTACATAGAGTTTTGCTTTGCCTATTTTTCTTTTATTAAAAAATAGACTCATAAAATGGGCATGTCTCAGGAGGCTATGAAGAAGCGCCCTGATATGTAAATTTCTCTTATTTCTGAATGATATTAACCAGAGATGCCTTGCGGAAGGATCTGAAATAGACAGTCAATAGGGGTTTATTGACTGTAAGTCAATTTTAGTTAACCTGTTTTGACATCGTTTACATAAAAAATTTTTTACTAGCTGCCTTGAAAAATTGAAGTAGACATTTTGTTCCGATACCTCTTTTTAAGAGAAATGACGTTCAAACGACTCAAGCTTTTTGAAAACCGTGGGGCTGTCTGGGGCTTTGAGTCACCGGCTATGACCGAGGTTGGCTGACCAGTCGGTTGGGATGGTGTAGAGGAGACTGAAGCCACAGATGGGCAGCAGAGAGATGGCCTGGACGCTTTCCAAGATCCATTTCAGCGCTCTGATTCCCTGACTTCCTGCGCCAGCTCACCTGGGCAGTGAGAAAGATCCAGGAAGAGCCCCTGCTCTCCCCTCTTCCCCGCCCCACAAGCAGGAACAGCTGGTGCGATTGCAACCTGCCTGGTTCTGGAGGCCGCCCACGGCCGCGTGGCTGGAGGACAAGGACACCTGCCCGGGGCAGCGCATGCTTCATTTGGCTGCTCTTTGGCCCTCGGGAGCTTTCAGCCGAGGTGTCTCGATTTAACAGACAACAAATTCCTCTCTAAACCCTGCAGGTTCTAGATTGACAGCAAATACTGTACATTCTTAAGAGCCTGGCAGCACAGGAAATTACTCCTTCATCTGTTTCCTATTTTGACATTTCATCAAGATGGAACTTAGTGGCTATAAAAGATAATATTACTGTATTTGACTTTAAAAAAAGCCACACTGGTTCAATTTCTGTGTTCAGAATCCCCTCTACTTGTGTATGGGTTGGGTAGACTTCTCTTTTTTTAATCTTGAAAAAAAAAATAAGCCACAGAAACAGTGCAAAAAGAGTACTTGGAACATTATATTCTCTTAATTCACCAGTTATTAATATTTTATCATTATTGCTTTATGCCTCTATATACATATATACATATTAATATTATTATTTTTTATGTATTTAAGACAGAGAGCATGAGCACAAGAGGGGAGGGGCAGAGAGGGAGGGAGAAGCAGATCTCAATCCCAGGACCCTGAGATCAAGACCTGAGCTGAAGGCAGATGCTTAACTGACTGAGCCACCCAGGCACCCCACATATTAATACTATTGTCAGGAACTGCCATAGGCTGAATGTTTGTGTCCCACTCCCCAATTCATGTGTTGAAATTCAAACCTCCAGTGGGATGTTATGAGGAGGTGAGGCCTTTGGCAAGTATTAGGTGATGAAGACAGAGCACTAATGATGAGGAGTACTGCCTTTATGAAAGAGACCCTACAGAGCTCCCCAGCCCATCTGCCACGTAAGGGTATAAGAAGAAGTCTGCTACCTGGAAGGGGCCTCACCCAACCATACTGGCACAGTGATCAATGATCTTGAACTTCCACCGTCCAGAACGAGGAGAAATCAATTTCTGCTGTTTAAAAGTCACCCTGCCTGTGGTATTTTGTTACAGTTGCCTGCATGGACTGAGACAGGAAATGTTTGAGGTAAATTGCAGACATCCTGACCCTTTCCACATAAACATGTGGGCAGATGTCTCCTAAGAACAAGGGCACCGTATAATGATCAGAGTGAGGACATTCAACATTGATACGATACTATTACTGAACGTGATCATATTCAAATTTTGCCAGTCTCTCTGATATTTCCCTTTATAACATGTTTTCCCAATCTAGAATCACATATTTACACTCCGTTGTCATGTTCCTTTAGTCTCTTTTATTCCAGAAAAGTTCCTCAACTTTGTCTTTTCATCGTACTGATATTCTTGAAGAGTATAGACCTATGGTTTTCTAGTATGTCCTTTGAATTTGGTTTGTGTGGTGTTTCCTTTGGACGAGTTCAAATTATGCACATGCTGGGTCCTTCTCAGCACATCCCATTGTGAGTCACCCTCGTCAGTTTGTCCCACTGTTGATGACATTAACTTTGATCATGGGCTTCAGTAGGATCTGGGTGATTTCTCCACTTGCGAGAAATCCTTCCTTTTTATAATTAATAATCTGTGAATGGACATTGGTGGTGTTACCAGGTTTCTTCACTCTAAACATAACTCTTTTTTTTAGAGAGATACTTTTAGACTGGGTGGAGAGTTTATGAACAAACTGGTTTTAGCATCCATTGATGACCCTTGCCTGAATTAATTACAGTATTACACAGTATTACAACGGTGGGTAGATGCTTTTCGAAAAAGGAATATTGTAATATTGAGGTTTCCTCCTTGTGTTCCTTCTCCATTATTCCTTCCCTAAGACCAAAAGGGATACCCAGGGCAAATCATTTGGGCAAATCAAAGGTTCCTGAGAGCACCTACTCCCCACCATTCCAAAGTTTGATCCATGTCTGGAGGATGAGGCAGCCAAGCATAGTGGAAAGAGCTTGGATTAAAAGTCAGATGAGCAGGAGACCTGGCATTCCCCACCTGGAGATTCCACAGGTTCCTCTACCTGAACGTGTCCTAAACTTAACCCCTCTGAGGGGGTCACTCCCTGAAAGCTGGGTCTCCCCCACAAGTTCCAATTTCATTGAATACTGCCACCATCTACCCTGTTGCCCAAGCCAAAAATTTGGGAAACATTCTCTACTCCTGACTCTTCCTTACTCTCCACATCTAATTAACAGCCAAGTCTTGCATAATGATACCTTCCAAACATCTCCAGGAATTCATCCTCTTCTCTCCAGCCCTGTTGCACCACCTGGTCCAGACTATAATCGTCTCATACCCGCTCTTCTGCAATTTCCTCCTGACTGTCCTCTGATCTCCAAAATTTTGTGTGCTACAATCCATTCTTCTCACTTCAGCCAGAGTGACCTTTCTGCACTATAAATTTGATCATGCCCCTTCCACCTTCCCAGTCATTAAACCTTTCGGCAGCTCCCCCTTGTAGTAAGGGTCATTTGGTTAAAGTGATATGTCTCAACTCCCTACCATGGTATCCCTACAGCCCACTTGGCCAGGAATATTTGTCATCATGGCGCCACCTCTTACTTACTTACTAACTTACGTACTTACTAGCCTCACTTTTGGCCAGACAGATCAAGACAGGCATAAGGTGACATATATATGGAAGGTGTTCTTGAAAAAAATAAAACTCATCAATGTTCATCCACAAGGCAATCTTCCCTTAGAAAATCATGGAAACAGATCTGACCTAGCCATTTCCAGGACTCTGGCTGTAGAAAACAGCCCCCAAACTGTGGATCCTCCTTCTTAGTTGAAGAGAAAAGTACTCACCAGGGGGTAGTTCCTTCAAGCTTGCTCATAGACGGGCCACCAGAGGGCGCGCCATGACCCCGCAACCGGCTGGAGGAGCGATGGGTTCCACATTTATCTTGAAAGAAAAGATATTGGAAACATATCAGATATATTTATTTATGCTTTCTGAGTACCACATGCATCTCAAATCCCAGGGCAGCCACGTTCTTTTATTTTTATGCTGTATCCATGGTTTCAGGACAAACAGGCTAAGAAAAACCTTTCCCATCACTGAATGCAAAAGGAAATATGAAAGCTCGGGTCTTTTTTTTTTTTTTTCCTCCAGGAAGTCAGACTACATTTTAAATAGTCTCCCTTGAGGCGAGAACTCTTGATTCATTGATGAAATTTCTAGAACTTTCTAAATTTTCATATGGCACATTACTCATAAATATTTGAAAATTCTCAAGAATATTGCGGATCAGGCAAAATGATAATAAACTATGATAAATAGCTCTCACTGAGCATTTACAATGGCTGTACCAAGAGTTTGATGTATTTTAAGTAAATATAGATATATTTAACTCTCATTATACGCTTTGAGGTTAAGTATTGTTGTTCCTATATTCCAAATGGGAAAACCAAGACTCCAAGCACTTTAGCAATTTGACATGACCACAGAATTAGGATTTGAATTCAGGACTAGGAGATGTCCAAGTCCATGTGTGCCCTGTGTCTTGGCAAGCTCTCATCTTTCTCTCAGAAGCCCACTGGCTTTACTTCAGGACTTTCCCCCTTCTCTCCCTTTGTCTCAAGAGTACTTACAGCACTAAGTGGGACTCCACCAGCCATCCTCCATACTTTCCATTCCAGCTACCCTGTTGTTCTCTTGACTCTACCTTCTACTCCCCATCAAAAGGGGGCTATCCTATGTGTCACTCCTTCAGAACCAGTGTTTCTTGCTAGAGCACCTTTCAGTGCCTGGTAATCAGGCAGTCAACACAAATACTGATTGAACATCTCTGTGCTAGACCAGTATGATTCCTGCACACATGGGGTCCAGGAAATTCTTGTTGGATGGATGGATGGATGGATGGATGAATGAATGAATGAATGAATATCAATACCCAGTGATAGTAGAGGAAGTTTCAGGTAGAGGACAAAACATGAGTCCTGGAATAAGAAAGATTTGGATTTTTGCTCCCTCATTTGGGTGGTACTTAGTACAATTCACCAAATATTTCTAACTATGGTCATTTCAGGTTCTTGGTAAGTTCTATCTCCCACTGTTTAGTATTTCCAAATTCCTGAGAGGCATCAGTCTTGGGGATTTGGGAGTAAGAAATGAGAATTCCCAGGAATTCTGAAACCATAAATTATTCTGATTTTTCATGACACTTAATAAATAATGTGTAACCATAATGACCATCAAGTCATTTTTCCGTAATAGGATCACACTGCTGGAGGTTTTCACTAAAAAATAACAATAGGGCGCCTAGGTGGCTCAGTCAGTTAAGCATCTGCCTTCGGCTCATGATCCCAGGGTCCTGGGATGGAGCCCTGTGTTGGGCTCCCTGCTCAGCAAGGAGCCTGTTTCTCCCTCTCCCTCTGCTGCTCCCCCTGCTTGTGCTCTCTCTCTCTAAAATAAATGAATATTTTTTAAAAATAATAAGTGCATGGTTTATTATTATGAATCAGTTTCTTATGATAAGATTATATGTTTCAATAACACATAAAAATAATCTTTTCCTTATGTAGACATTTGACAAGAGAACATATTAAAAGAAGGGAAAAGAGACACAAGATAAATGTCAAATAAAAATTGTTATAAAAATGGAATGTAGCTGCAACAAATATTTCTATAAGGTATTATTTTTAAAATGAAAATTTAAAACACACAAGGCATTAACTCCTGACCAATTTCCTTTTCTGCCTTGACATTTGTTCAAATGTTAGGAGTGCATCCAAAAGCACCTTTGAGTTGAGCTTTAGAGTACATATAGCTTCCTATAAGCTTATTTCCTTTTTTAATGATGAAAATTAAAAATATTTATTTTTCTTCTCTTCTTGCCTTGGCTTTGATTTTGCTGTTGAAAGTGATACTGCTTTTACTAATTCGGATTTTTGTTCAGTTTCTAATTTCCCGTCAGAGTATTCCACAATATTCACATCATCTGCTCTTTGCATTTCTTCCATTAAAGTGTTTACAAAGACCTGTAGCCTGGAGGGAACACTCAAACACTGGAAAACACCAGTGAACGTTACTGGGTTGTGTTCCAGTAACATAACAGTCAGCTCTCCTACCAAAGTTAACAGCACTAAATAGGAGCATGTGTTGAAATTGCCAATTTAAGGATATATTTTGTTTCCAAACCTGATTTCTTCCAACATAACTCATAGGACTTGTATGAGGTCTACTATGCATAACTTATTGATATTTATTTTGTTTGTAAGAATGACTCATGTAGCAGCCAGGGCCCTGAACACACATAACACAACAATACTAGCTAGCAAGACTGACTCATTAGATGCTCCCGGCTTCCAGGGTGCCACTGTCCTGGTTCCTGGAAAAGTCACCTTAACCTTTGATTCTGTGCATTAGTGTTTCTTGGTCTTGCTTTTAACTTGACACAAGTCAGTCCTCTGAACCAGTAACCTCTCTATGTGGATTCTTCTGTTTTTAATATCACAGGAAGATCACGACTTTTTCCTGTTTTCCCAATTTCTTGGCTAAATATTACTGGGACTTGAGATTTGGAAAAACAAAAACAAAAACAAAACCACATAAGCATTTCTGGAAAAATGCCAGGAAGGAATTCTCCCATGGAAATACTTCTATTGCCTTTGAAAGTAAGGTATAGCATGTGACAGGTTTTGGCCAATGAAACCTTCAGGCAGAAGCTGTGAGACCATTATGAGATTTGTCATTTCGCTTCCTGCTGCTGCATTAATCATGGAAGCACATGCTTAGTTAAAGCCTCAGGAACTGGGGTCCATGAGTGACCGTGAGAAGCAGGGCCCACAGACAATCAGGTAGGACACATGATAGAGACATGATAGGAGAAATTTCTGTGAGATAATCTATGACAGGCCCCATGTTTTGGGTAATTCCCTCACCTTCTCCGAGTCTCATTTACCTTATTAGAAAAGAGATAAAGTAATTTCTATTTCAGGTTTGTTTGTTTATCTTTGGTGAGGACTGAACAAGGTGAGTGCATGTAAAGCTTCTAATAAAATGTCTACTATCTAGTGGATGCTCAATATAATCTTCCCCTGTAAAGGGATAAAGAGAAGATCCCTAGAAATAGATCATAGAAAAAAATTAGAAGTCACGGTGGCCTCAGATATTCCAAATGTGAACATGGGAAGCCAGACGTCAAAGGAGCAATGCCTTGAAAATTCTAAAGGAAAAGCTTATGCCCAGCCAAACTATCAACTAAGTCTGAGGGTAGAATACAGCCATTTGCACAAAAAATTTTTACATCTCATGCACCACTTCTCTGAAGGTACTCCACCAAAATGAGTAAGTTATTCATCCAGGAAAAAATACATAGGGTTAGGAAACAGGGGACCCCAACTCAAGACAGAAGGATTTCCGGTGAAGGGCAGCCCCGGCTTGATGTCCAGGCAGAGCCTAGGGAGCTCCTGGCTGGCTGGGAGCAGAAAGATGGGGTTCCAGGGGAGACCCAGCCAGGAACAATATTTAACTGGAAGGAAACCTGATGTATGTGGAAAATAGGGCTGGTGGGAAAGTATATTCCATTGGCAAGTTCAAGAATTAATGACAGTATCTGGATAACTAAGGAAATATTAAAATATAAGGTTACTATTAACTCCAAGAACAAGAAAATTTTGAAAACAGAAATAAAATCATAATATATTACTTGACTCAGTAGGAAAGAATATTTATATGGCTGTAATAATTTATTTGCTAATTCTCAATTTAATCAGAAATTTAAAAATAACTGCCAAATATAGGTGGGTCAGGGGTGAGGCGGGATTAGTGAAGTACTAAATCTTCACCTTGCAAATTAAGAAATCAGTAGATTATGCCTTAAGTTGGTAACTTAAGAAATTTTGGTGTTAGGGGCACCTGGGTGGCTCAGTCGGTTGAGCATCCAACTCTTGATTTCTGCTCAGGTCATGCATGATCTCAGAGTCATGGGTTCAAGCCCCACATGGGGCTCTGTACTCAGTGCGGAGTCTGCTTGAGATTCTCTTTCTCGCCCTCTGCCCCTCCCCCTGCTCGCGCACATGCGCTCTCTCTCTAAATAAATAAAATCTTAAAAAAAAGAGATTCGGCATTAGCTGATTATTTAAAAACATGGAGGCACAAGCCAGAGGTAGCAGGTGACAGATTAGGAGGTGGCTCTTTCCGAGGAGCTGCATTCAAAGATGTGGACCACTGTTTCCAGTTGTAAATTCAGTAGTGCTATTAGGCTCCTTAAAATATGGACATGCATTACCCTGAAATAAAGATTAGTTACAATTGGGGGGGTAGGCAGGGGAGAAGATATTTGCAAATGACAGATCTAGTAAAGGGATTATTTACCACTATAAACTAGTATAGACTAGTAAATACACACCTAAATCCATAAATATTTACATGAAACCAGAAAGCTTTGTGGCCCAGGATAAGCCCTTTTACCTCTGAGTCTCAGTTCCCCCATGTGTTTAAACTCACTAACTGTATGATCTCTGGAATCTCAAACGCACTATTAATCAAATGCAAACCTAGAAAACACCACTCCATATTTTTACAAATGCACTCTTTTTCTTAGATAAAATACAGAAACACGTGAAAACATTTTAGGTTAAAAAAGTCCGGGGAGTACAAAGGCTCTGATACATTGGCCACATTTTGTCATGGAGCATTTTTTAACAGCCGGGCGAGCTCTGTAGGGGCCCACTTTCAGTTGATGCAATGTGGGTAAACAAACATGACCTTGAGAGTTCTCATCTTCACCTGCCCCAGGTAACCCCTCTCCCCAAGACAGTTACAATAGCTATTGAACCCTAATTCAGCGTCCAGGTAGGCAACCAAAACTACTTTCTCCACTGGAGAGATCCCCCAGTGTCTACTGCAGGACTAAGGGATCTTAGGTGGAATGAATGAAGCACTTTGATGGTCCAGAA